AGTCGACGTAACACGGTGTCCGACAATATGATCCGGCTGTCTCTCCAAGCGACATGTGACTCAGAGCTTGTCTTCATCCCTCATCTCGATATCATCGAAGACTTTGTCTGTACAACCGACGTCATGGTGAGTCGGGGCCGTGGTGTCTTTTTTTGCCGATTCCCCCTAACGGGACATTTGAGTCACCGCTACCCATCAACTCTACTTTTCATTCTCATCAACTACACTCCTTTCCATCTCATCTACAGTTCCAATCATCTTTGCAAGTATCTACAATCCTTCGCAAGCAAGCATCATGATTTGGACTAATTGCACGATGTACCCTCTAATCTACTTCTATCTCCTCAATCTTCTCTGTCTGGTCTCTGGATTCAGTCTGTCACCCGGTGACTCGGTTATAATTCCTGGCTGGTATCTTCAGTCATCGATCCAGGCCCGAGAAGAAGCCAGCAAGCTCTCGCAGCCTGATGCCACGACGGACTCATGGCACCGTATCGGGTCGCGCAGCACCGTCATGGCCGGCTTGCTTCAAGCTGGGGTCTACAACGAGACCGATCTCTTCTACTCGGACCATATGAACGGCGTCGATCTATCCGACTTTCAGTCCCCATGGCTATACCGTGAAGAGTTCGGCCTACAGCCCCTACCTAAGAGCGACCATCTCTTCCTCATCACCCACGGCATCTCTTCCAAGGCTGATATCTACTTCAACGGCGCACAGGTAGCTTCGAGCGACTATCAGCAAGGATACTTTGGCGGCCACCAGTATGACATAACGCCGCACGTCCGCTCAGGGAAAAACGCTCTTCTCGTTCAAGCCCACCCAACCGACTATTCTGTTGACTTTGGCCAAGGCTTCGCAGACTGGAACCCGGCGCCACCAGATAATGGTACCGGTGTCTGGCGCAATATCGAGCTGAAGCAGACAGGTCCTATTTCTCTGTCCCCGATTCGAATCGTCACCGACTTCAAGACCGCACCCAGTGAGCGAGTGCTGGTGACAGTCATCACGGATGTCACTAACCAGAACAATGTGCCCATCCAAGCATCCTTCCAAGGGATCATCGAGACGGAGCAAGATACTGGCATGCAGCAGCGGATCCCGTTTTCGGGCAGTATCCGGCTCAACCCCAACGAGCACACAACCATCTCATTCCCTGTGACCATTCAGAACCCCCAAATCTGGTGGCCTGCTGCGTGGGGTCGCCAGCCACTCTATGCGGTTCAGCTCAACGTGAGCACGCCTCAGAGGACAATCTCAGACCGGGCACCGCGCACAACCTTTGGTATTCGCCACGTAACCTCTCAGCTCAGCCCCGACAAGGACCTCTCATTCAGCATCAACGGTCATCCCTTCAATGTGCGAGGCGCGGGCTACGCACCCGACCTCTTCCTCCGCTTCGACCTGAATCGCGTCCGCACCATTTTCCGCTACGTCCTCGACATGGGCCTCAACACTGTTCGGCTCGAAGGCAAGCTCGAGCACCCGGAGTTTTACAAGTTGGCGGACCAAATGGGAATCATGATCATAGCTGGGTGGGAATGTTGCGATAAATGGGAAGGATGGGACGTATGTCAACCCAACCCCACCGCCACCCCTCTTTCCAACTGAAACATTCATCTGTTCCCCCTTGTCATCACTTCGCTAACCCCAAGCTTTCTCCAGTATAATCCTGATGGTCAAGGCCACCAGTGGACCACAACGGATTACACAACTGCCTACCGGCAGATGTACCACGAATCCACCTACCTCCAAGCGCACCCCTCACTCCTCGCCTTCATCCTCGGATCCGACTATTGGCCCGATGAATCCGCCAGCAGGCAATACCTTGCCGCGCTCCAACTCACAAACTGGACCAACCCGATCGTCGCCTCGGCCTCCGCCCGCGGCAACCCATCCGGCCTGGGACCCTCGGGCATGAAAATGCTCGGCCCTTACGACTGGGTGCCTCCCAACTACTGGACCTCCAACAACACACCCGGTATAACCGAGTCCGGGACTGCCTACGGCTTTGGGTCCGAACAAGGCCCCGGCGTCGGAACACCCACCTTGCCCTCTCTGACCCAGTTCCTCTCCCTTGCGGATCTCCACGCCCTCTGGAGTCACCCCTCGTCGGGATCCTATCATCTGTCCCCGCGGGGTGCCGGGGAATTCCACACCCGCAAGACCTACAACACCGCGCTGTTCCGTCGATACGGGGATCCCACCTCTTTGGAGGACTACCTCCAGAAGACCCAGTTGATGGACTACGAAGCTACGCGAGCTGTGTTCGAGGGGTTCGCGATCAACCAAAATGCTGCCAGCAGCAGTAATGCTCGTTCGGCAACAGGACTGGTGTATTGGATGCTGAACAGCGCGTGGCCGAGTCTACATTGGCAATTGTTCGATTACTATCTTCGGCCTGCGGGGGCGTATTTTGGGACGAAGACGGCGGCGGCACGGGGTGAGCACGTTGCCTACGACTATGTGAGGAGGGAGGTGCGTGTGGTCAATCTAAAGGGTCCCCGTTTGACTGGAGGGGGTAAGACGGGGAAGAGGGTGGTAGAGGTGGAATTGATCACCGCTGCCGATGGGAAGGCGGTGGATAAGCAGGCGGTGGGGGTGGAGGAGACCGAGCCGGGGGCATCGGTTCCCGTTGCCAACATAGCGGACGGGGTGAATCGTCTAGAAGGAGTGGGGTTCTTGAGATTGTTGCTCAAGGATGCCCTCAATGGGTCAGTCCTCAGTCGCAATGTGTACTGGGTGACCAAGGAGAATGACGTGCTCGACTGGGGCAAATCGAACTGGTACACCACCCCGGTCTCGCGGTATGCGGATTTCACCGGGTTGAGCAACCTGCGGACAGCGAGTGTGCTGGCGAGCGTGACCGTGAAGCAGAAGGGAGAAGATGGGTCGACCCTAGAGGTGACGCTGGAGAACAAGGCCGATATCCCGGCTTTCTTTATGCATTTGACGGTTGTCGATGCGGCGAGCCAGCAAGAGAGCGAGGCCGGCGAAATCACGCCGGTCTATTGGTCTGATAACTATGTGACGCTGTTCCCGCGGGAGAATCTCAAGTTGACGGTGCAGACGCCGAAGAAAGATGGATGGAGGATGGTCATGTCTGGGGTGAATGTGAAGAGGAATGTGATTGCTCGAGGGTGAGTTGTGGAAGATGTGGAAGATGATTACTATGCTTTGCTGCTGCTGTAACAAAATATACTTTCTGCTTGATACTGAATAGCTATAGGGGACAATTTCAGTGCGCTTGATGTTTCCTCTCGTCTCTCGTATTCTGTAGACGTCATAGTTGGTAGCCATTGTATCGCATCGTATTCCACAGGAATTGTCGTACCTGTCCCGTGCCTGCGTAAATTTGTGATCACTGAAACGGCCGAGAGGATGCATATATTCTCCTGACTACAATCCGGATCCCGGAAAACACATGGACTAGCAGTTCTCTTGCATACGCTCTATCTGGCAGAACTAGCCAGCGTCGCCCGGTCTGACCGCTTGGGGTCAAGCCATCTAGTATCTTCGTGCTCTCCCCAGCTCGATTGGATTAATGTCGCTCTTCCATAATCCGCGAAGCATCAAGCGATCTCTCTCACGGTATCAGATATGAAGACGAGGGAATTTGTGCCATAACTGATATCGTACGTAGACAACGAAAGCTATAAGACTGACCAGGTTGCGCAATGCCCACTAGCTTGCGACGAATCTATGAGGTCGTTTGTGCTGTTATAGAAGCATTGGGAAAGGGCCGGGCTGGGAGCGGCCTTACTAAACCGGGAATAGCCTACTAGACTAGGTAACCTGATCTCGAATCCATGATTATTTCAATGGCATCCATCTAACAGCCACGTTCTCCTGAAGGGCACTGCGATCTGACATAGGAAAGATAAACTTTTGGGGAACATCCCAGCTTAGGTCTAAGACCTCGAGTCAATCAATAAATAGCCCCTCTGGTGACGGGGTCTCAAGTCAAAATCATAACAGTTCAAAAAACAGTCCGACTGCTTGACGTTCCAGCATACCAACCCAAGGTTCGGTGTGCTTGTGCTTCTGTCCCGTCACCCGAGCCAAGGGCCTTCTCGGTGAACCGATGTACATACACCCAAGGAAGCATGCCTGTCATTGCACAGGTGTCAGACTGTCATGATCCTCTACAAAAAAAAGCAGATCGGCTCCGACAAAGCTGAGCAATGTTTCAGAGATTTCGCTCCAACCCCCACATACAATGAGAAAATTTCTGTTGGACACGAAAGGTTCCTGTCGATCGGATTGTCTGCCACCACTCCGGAGTCGCCGGGAAGGTGTAAAGCCGAAAGACATCTCCTGGTTGCATTGAAAAATCGGACGGTTCTTGAATTCGGTGCCAGGTGCAGTGGGGTCGAGTCTGCACCAGATCAGGAAAAGTCGAATCCGGTCCCTGGAATCTCTGGGACCCTTTAGGGCGAGCCAAGAACATCAAGACCTCGATTGGTATTAGTCGCCCTCTAGATAGGTTAGTGACATCGGTCAGTTTCTACACATAGACTAGACTGGTACCTTTTAGTCTATCTAATTAGTAGGACCCTTGGCATGCCCAGGTGCCCCAGTGAGGTGGCAACGTTGGTCGACGGGCCGAACAATCTTCCCAGGCCCATTTTTATTTACTGCTAGACTTTCTTAGTGCTTGTAGTCTAACATGACCATACGGATTGGAGTCATGACCACACAAAATGTGAGACAAGCTCATCGTGACCCATAGATCGCTAAGATTCAATCTCGCTTGCAAGCCTCAGAGCAGCAATGTCAATCTCCGACCTCCGTGGGCTGGTTCTCCACTCTGCCTGCGAAACTGGAATGAGAGGTAGTCTACGTCGACCATTTTCTTTTCCCCTCCAGGGACTTCAAGTGAGGTCCAGTCCCCTGGAGGCCTTGATCAGTTCTATCTACCTCTGAGACAAGAAATTCAAATAATACAGAGCGGTAATATCTTTCATCGCCGGCAAGACTGAAGAAGCTCATGTCCTAATCAGGAAGTTGACTTAGTTCGACTCCGTGTTCGGCTGCTAACACTGCCATCATTCGCGGTATCTTTCTGCTCTTTCTTCGGGGCAACCTTGGTTTTCCTAGCCGGTGCTCTCACCACCCGTGCTCTATAAGCCATCAAACCCGCCTCGGCATCTTCCGAAATCTGCGACCTGTTCGTGACGGTAGTGTGCTGCGTCCTAATCCCCCACTTCGCCGCCGAAAGAGTACGACCGCCTTGTGCATCGGTAAGGAGTGTGAGTATCCGCTGATATGTATCTTTCATGCCAGAGCTATCAGAACATCTTTGTAACCGCGATTCGGCAAGCTCCGTGGGGCTTCGATCACCAAATCTTGCGCACTCCGATCGAGCCGTTGGATCTGCGCCAGCAGCCAGTAGAGCTTCGATAGCCTCCTCATGCTCGAATAGGACCGCCGCATGCAAAGGCGTGCCCCATTCCGCGGAGGTCGTCGCATTCGGATTGAGACCCCTCGACAGCAGGAATCGAGTCTTGCTCGCCGAATTCGTGCCCCAAACCAGAGCATTGAAGAAGAGCCCGGCGTCCAGCTTCGCCCCGTACTCCACAAGCAGATCAAACACGGCTCCGCCGTCCTCGTGAACTTTACCGAGAGCGCTAACGAAAGGGCTTACTTTCCTCGGGCCGCAGCGGTTGGGGTCCACGCCTCGCTCGAGTAATTCGCGAGCACAGTCTGAATTGCAAAAGCTATGGCACACAGGCATTAGTCTGGGATTTTCAACTAGCCCCATGTGATGGTGATGACAGTCATACCGTAGAAGAGGCTCGCCTCCGGGTGTGGTGCATTTCTTCGGTTTCAGGCCACGATCGAAGAAGAGTCGAATGACCCGCGGATCCTGCTGGCCGCCATCCTTCCCGCAGAGGGAACCTACCGCACCAGGTGTCATAGGCACGCCGGCATCGAAGAGTGCGGCCACGATGTGTGGGTGAGCTTCAAGGGTAGCGAGTTGAAGCCCTGTGTCAAGTTCATCGGCAGAAAGTTCCCCGCTGGCAAGGGCTCTCTGGACTTCTTGCAGGTCACCGTTGGTACATGCTCGCTCAAATGTAATGTTTAAAGCGTCCTTGGCGGTATCAGGTGACATGGTGCGTAGAATGGGAGAATGTGTGCGTGTAGAGGAGAGGCAGGCGGTGGTAAAAGCGGGAGACCAACATTTAGTATTGTAAAGTGGGAATCTTCGTAACTGTGTATCATGGATGTTTACTCCCACACTTGGCATGGGTCGGTCTTGGCATTGGTTTGGAGATTTGCGGTGCCAAGATCTCCATTTGTGTAAATTATAAATACTTTGTCCTGGCGAGGGTTGCCCACTGGCCTTGTGGATCCCCGCTATAACAATCCAATCTGTCAAGCCTACGGAGTAGTATGTTCGTTGTAAAAGGGAGCTATGATAGCAAATATTGCTAGCTGACTCTAATGAAAACTGACTATATGACTCTAAAAGCCTTCTCCACTTAAATAGCGATTTACCTTTCCTGATTCAGATATAGTTCTCCTCAGTGCACAGGATTTATGTATAGAAAGAGTAAAGTCTTACCAAGTCCGTTATGTTACAACACCAATAACGATATTGTATAAGGATCCCCGGGGTCTCAGGTGAGTGAGTGGCTGGCGCCAACCAGAAGTTTCAGGGACCGCTCGCATGACTATTGCTTGATAAAACAATGGAAATGAAGACGACAGCCAGGGTCGCATAGACCTGTGTAGACTTGACGGACCTCGCAGGCGAAGAACAACTGAACAGCTGCAAGATAAGAAGAGTTCTATAAAGCTCCATGACTTACTCAGTGGGGCTGGCTGCGCCAGACTATAATTGAACCGGCCCGAGGCCAATCCAATGGCCCCGGTATCGGCCCGTATAACACTCAAATCAAGACTAGAACCACTGGTGGACCGTCCTTCGACTCTATTAACTCGATAGCCCGCTGACATCCATCCAAAAAGTCTAGGTGAGACGAATTGATCATTACGGTCCAAGGGATTGATACTATCGCATCCAACAAACCGACCATCTCCACCCCGCCCCGCTACTCAAGACCGGAGGAGCATCTCAAGTATAGTCCTAGGCGAAGCCAGCAGGCCAGGGTCCCTCAGCCGACGCCTCTCGGCGACTTCCGCGGGGCTCTGGTCAGCGAACTGCCTGCAACGCACCCTCGCCGCGGGATCCGCGCCCGCCTCCAGCAGCACCCGCACGACCTCCTCCTTCGCAAGAGCGACCGCCCGATGCAAAGGCGTGCCCCATTCCGGCGAGGTCGTGTTCGGATCCAGCCCCTTCCCCAGCAGGAACCGCGTCTTGAACCCCGCCCTGCCCTCCCCACGCGAGCTGACCGCCTCGAAGAGCAGGTCTGCCTCCAGCGTCGCTCCGTGTTCGATGAGCAGCTCGAAGAGCGATATGTCTTCGCAGACGGATTCCAGGGTCGATGAATGGGTTGTTGGGGGCCATGGGGTGTTTGTCTGGATGGAATGGGATTTTGGACGGTTGGTCTGGGAAGTTGGGTCGTTTTGAGTACGTACTTGGTTATGGTTAGCTAAGTAAATAGTCAACTCATTTACCATGGAACTCGCTGCGTTGGCTTCTGATGTGCAAGTTGAACCGGTACAAGTGGAGTGGCTCGGTGGAGCTTGTCCCCACCATGCGTTCTACTCCACCGGACTTGAAGTTTACAGTAGAGGAGACAGGTGGTCTGGATACGTTAGGTGTGTATTCTCTATGTCATTATCATCGATTGTATCATAAGGACGATAGTTCTTCCCTGTTCGCTCTTTGCAAGGTCATGGTAGATTTTGATGATTGTCGCATTGATAGACATAATCGACGGTCACCCTGCACCCATCTTTCCGATGGTACGAGCCGCACTTCTTACAGCCGCCGATGTTGCGGATATTCTGGTAGGCATTCCACATCTCGTTCCCGCTGATACTGCAGCTTTGACCTTGAATGAAGACACCACAACCCTGGGTCAGATCGCCCCAGCAGTTTCCACTCTGATTGCTGTAGACGCTATCACTAGTTAGAGATATAAGATCAGGACTCGCGTTAAAATGGCTATAATTGTGATGGATGACTCACTTAATCACCTCGGCCGAATGATAGTTTATCTCATAGTCTCGATACAAGTCATTCGCAGCGTGATCGCACCACTTCAACAACTCCGGGGTGGTACACATGGACGAGCCCTTGCAGTCATAGTCGGACGGGTCTGGCTCGAAGGCGTTAATCATGGGGTTGTAGCCCTGCGCCTGCACCACAAACTTGCTCGTATCAACAGCCGACGTGCCCAGGGGTAGCGTCCACGTGTAAGTGTAGCCGCTGATATTGAGCGTGACGGTGTCGATCACCTCCCAGGACTACGGGGGCGCGGTGGATCCCGTTACAAAGACCCCGTCGTAGCGGTAAAGAGCCGTGCCATCCACCATATAGTGGGTGCAGACGTAGGTGTCCACGTTGAAATTGACACCCCAACCTGGATCCTCGTCGAAGTCGCACTCGATCGAGTGCCAGATGTAGAGGCGGACGGAGGAATAAGGCACCAGCACATCAGCCTCAATGACCGTCGAGTTCTCCCGGGGAGATGACTTGTAATTTGTTACCGTTCTCCCACCCGGTAGTCGTTTAGTGGTCACGGTAACCTGGTTCGAAGACGAACCCAGTGTGCCGCCCTCTCCTACGGCACTGACGTAGAACGTGTAGCTGGTTCCGGATGCGAGACTGCCGATTGTCACTTCGGTCATCGAGCTGGGAACGCTGGCAGCAAGACTACCACTGGCATACACATGATATCCCTGAGCATTCGAGGCCGCAGCCCAAGATAACTTCGCCGAACTGTAGTCTGAGGTCATCACTGTCAGTTCAGTCACGGCTCCCGCAGCGCCGTCCGATTCCCAAGCGACTGCACCCGCGTTTGACAGCGAGCCACCGTCAATTCCATCCATCATACTTTGGATGTACGAGTCCGTGGGAAGAGTGTCGTATGGATTGGGCAACATGTCATCGGTGAGCTGCAAGAAGCCCGCCCCGCGCTCTTTGGCTAACTGGACTACTTCGCTAATGGCAAACTCGGGCACGCTGTATACGGTGTGCCATAGCTTCCGCGGATCTCTGGCAGTCCAGTCGTTAGGTGTGTAGTTGTCAATGTAAGAGTCGTAGCTCTGCTCGAAAGTTAGGAGGGTGTCCATGGTATCCTCGAAGCAAGACGCCATGGGCGACCCAGGGTTCAGGACAGTGTACGCGCCGGGGTGAGCACGCTTTGTATAGGCGTTAATATACTTGTACAAGTCCACGTATTCATCGTTGGTGCCGCATTCAGGCCAGCCTTCATCGAAGAATATGCCGCCAATGCTGTCGCCATACAGCTTGTACCACATATCAACATCTTCCTCAATTTGAGCAGTCCAATCTGCCAGGTTGCCCGAGCCCAGCCGCGTCTGGAAGATCTGGTCACTCAAGCCCAGGTATCCGGTGCGCACATAGCCGAGAACCGTTTTGCCTGCAGATGAGGCTCGCTCGATCACACCTTGCCAGCTCGGGTCAACGATCGAATCCGGACCGTTTAAAACGTTGGCTACCAAGATAGGCATTTTCCTCACATCGTAATCGATCAGCCGGTCCCAGGCGGCCGGATCACTTAGGGGATTGATGTACGATGCGACAGCAATCTGTTGCCCTTGAACAGTCGACAAACACCCCGTCGCATTTGGGGCGAAGGGGGTCACTGTAGTGATCATGGTGGTAGTGCGCGCTTTCTGCGTGCCACAGCTTGGGACGGTTGAGTACGTAGTCGCGCAGGTGAGTTGAGGAATTGAGGGGTTCAAGGCTGGACTCCACATTCCAGGCCATATTGAGCCGCCATCTGCGCTTGGCACACCATTGTGGCGGCATCCTCCCTGGAGAAATATAGATGAAATCACATTGTTGGTTGTGATGGTCTCTTTAGATGATAGAATCACGCGAGGCTGAAGGCTCCAGCAGCGAAACCATGGAGATGAGCAGGGCTGCGGGTAGTCAGCCCGAACGAGCGCTCACCGCACCACTGAACTGCGGTATTCAGATCTGCCACAACTTCCACGACAGACCACGGAAAATGTCCTTGTTTTATGACAAGACATTCAGATCCACCATTGCAGCCCGAACTCACTGGCAAAGATATACTCCGCGCCGCAGACAATGTTGCTTACGTTCAGCGAGGGCCGAAAGCCTTTTTCGGCAAGCGGTTCGGATGGATCGTTCTCGTAGGAACTGGGTAGTTATTAGAACCGTATCGTGCCATACCTGAAGACTAATGAAACCCCTAGCAAGGATTCAACCAGATCAAGAGTGCGGAGGGAGGATTTGAAGTTAGCAGTCAGACATTATCGTGGTGAGTGCATGTAGCTAAGGAGTCAATGCCCGAGAATTCTTCCGGTCCTGGTCTGCTTCCAGCCCGAGTACCTACCTGACCACTGATCCCTAATTTATTGACCTGGTACTCTCCTCTATCCACCCCCATCACAAAATCTCAGGGCATCTGACCAATTGTTTACATTAAGACAGTGCAAGATAATTGCATCGATATATTGACCGTCTCTATGCGTTGATATCCTGTCGTAAGGATCAATTCTGCCTCGTTCCGAGTAACTGGGTTGGATTTCGGAAATCGTGTGTGCATCAGACTTGAATATGAGTACATTCTCTTCACGAGGACTAGTGTATCTGTCTTCAGACCAATGATGTCGCTTATGGCGCAGGTGGAGGATCAACATAGTGGGTCCTCTAGTACTAGCCGGTGGGGTGAGACAGGCACTAGAGCTACTAGAGTCTCCACAGTCAAGTGAAAGCGACTTTGCTCGGCCCAAGACCGAATCATTCAATTGGTTACTACAACCGCTGGTGAGTCAGTAATTGACCAACTTTGTTCGTTATAGCAATAGTGTTGAGTCTGACTTCCCGTGGGAGATTGCTGACCTAAATGCGCACAGTATAACTAAAAGACTTCAAGATTTGTAATAGTTACCATTCACTTTAGCCTCGTATGTTTCAATGATGGGACCGCCTCCACAAACAGATTTGCGATCACCGCACATCACTAACCTATACAAGCGGCGCGTAAAGCTCTCGCCGACTATTCCTCCAATTCATGGCCTGGATGGAGCCGATCGCGCGTCCTGGCCCTTTGGCTAGCGGCCGAAAGACCAGTCCCTTGGCCAGTTCCTCGCGAGTGAAGTCCCTGGTGTGCACTGCTCTCCCATTGGAATGGGGGTACTCGGTAAACCAGCCGGCCCAACGGTCTTTGGAAGGGGCATTCCAAATTGGCAGCAGAACCACCATTCCGTCGCCCTCCTCCAGCTCGTCATCGGGCTCATTCTCTGTCTTGGACGTCGAGGAAAGCGATGGCGAAGAAGGATGACGCCGTCGTTGTTCATACTTCCGATTCTGCATGTGCTTGCCAAACAGATTCGAGAGGCCGAGGGTCTCAAGCCTGGGCATCGACTGTAGATGAGTAAAGATCGGGTCCAGGACCCCGAGGTCAGATGACACTCATGTAATGATAGGGAGCGGAGGTTGGGATGTTTCTCAAGAAAAAGTAGTAGTGACTCTCCTTTGGCAGGAAGACCAGCAAGTTCACATTTCTCCAGCATAGGAAACTGGACTTCCTTGACGATGCTGTTGATTATGTAGTCATAGCGATTGCGAGTCTCTAGTCGGCCGGTACGCCGAAATCTCAGATCCAACTCTCGAAGAGCCGGGGCAGATTGGAAGAGGGATTGAAACTCAAGTGGTTCGCCCTTTTCCCCCTCTTGTCCCTTTCCCTCCTCCGCCTCTTTTCCCTCCTCCGCCTCTTTTCCCTCCCCCGCCTTCTCGACATGAGCATCCCTTAACTCCCCCGACAGGCTCAGCTGAAGCGAGTGCAGGTTCTTTCCGAATACCTCCAGCTGTGATTGACTAAACCCCGCCGCCAGAGCAGCAATCTCGTCCACCGGAACACAGCACCGGTCGGTGTTGTAATACACATCGAAATCCCTCACCGAGACGCCACTCTGCACCATCGCAGTCAGCACCCACGCGAGCACCCGCGAGGCTCTCTCCCAGAGAGGCTCCCATTGCTTGTAGCCCGGGGGCTCTCTCTTAGCGCGCCCGCGTCCGCAGACGATCCCGCCATCGAGGCGGATCGACTGCAACGCGCCGAAGCCCTGCAGTGCCCGCTGCAGGAGGTCCACCATCTCGCTCGGCGATTCGGCGGCCCGCGCTTCCTGCTGCTCCCTGAGCCAGCGCAGCTCCGCCTGAGCCCTGCCCAGCTCCTCGAGGGTATAGTCGACTGCTTCCCTGGACCACATGGGGCCATTGAAGGTTACTTCCTCGTAGTATCCGGCTTCGATGCTCTTCTCCAGTTCCCGAGATTCCAGGGAGGTGGCCAGGAAGGTCAGGGAATGCACCTTCGGGCTGAGGACGGGGTCACATGCCAGGGCATACAGGGCGCGCAGATTCTGCGGCGACAAGTCGAGCACGGGTTGGATGAGCTGGTCTCGGGGCCCGAGGCACTTCTCGGCGAGCGCGCGTGTGGTCAGGCGGAGGGCCTTGATGGACGCCGGATCCAGGTCGGTGAGAATCTGTTGGAAGATCTCGGGCGGCAGCTCATGCAGTTGTCTGCCCTTGGGCTCATGGTTGGACATCCTGATGAAGCTGGCTGAGGTTGTGGGTTCCGATGGTAGTGGGCCGGTCAACAACACCCGGTAGACAGACAAGATACTTTATGTGAGTAAAGCGGTCGGTATTGGCAGAATGAAACTGCTGGACTGGTTCTCGAGGGTGCAGTCCATGATGGTACTTTTTCAAGGTTCTATCGGGGAAAGTACGGACTGGGAACTGTCTCAGTTGGACTAGGCTTATGACAACACTAAGCCTGAATTGGGGAGTTTATTGATCGAGTGAACCCTGGATCGAGGGCACGGAGTGCTCGGGTATTTCAGGTGGATCCATCAATACACATACTAAAAGTCTCGGCACACTGCCAGGGGCAATTAGCTAGCACATATAACCCATGGAAACTTTTGAATGGGGAACAGATCTATCTGTTGTATCAGCAGTCACTGTCTGGATTCTGAAATTGAGGATCGAGGTACGGAGTTATGCATCTGGACAGAGAAATCTTCGATCAGGGTCTGGTATACTCCCAGGGCCCAGTGGAGCAAGGGCTGTCTCCGATGCAAGCTAGCCTCCTTGGGATTAGTGATACCTCATACCTAGTAAGTAGCCCCGCTTAGTACACATTGTTGCCTGTTGGAAGTGCAGTGGATGCCTAATGCAGTGACAGATCGGTAAGTGTGTTCAGATCAGAAGTAGGGTCGTAAATGCTAACTACCTACTTTTCAAGGTATATTGTAACCCCAATCTGAGCTTGCTATTTGGATGTTGATAAGAAATGATCTTGAGGAAGTAGACCACTTGGAAAGTTCTCAACTACTATACCAGCGACGGCCTACAGCACAAGACCTTGTCGACGACCTATAAGAAAAGTAAAATAATAATTTACTTTATGTAATGCGGTTACCACTAGAGGGGGGAAGCCTCTTCAAGTACGATCCGATTACTCTATTGGGAGGGCAAAACCCAAACATGGGCTATGTCGTGGCTTGAACGCCAGAAGACGCCGTACCATTCTGATGAATGATAAATAAGGAGATATCCTGACGCTGTTAATTATGGCTGTTGCAAGAAGATCTCCTGAAAAATGGGTGTTGTTGTGGATGGCAACGTGCGTGGGGCTAGGTGCTATACTTACTCTTAAGTGAATCGGGTTTGCCAGGCTCAAGAAAGCCATTTAACCTAGTCTTTTCTGGTGCGACTACTGAATTCAGGGCACGATGTGTGCCTGCCTTGGAGGGTGTACTTGTGAGACTTTAGCCCTGCGGGCTCAGTTCGATCGGCACAATCTCAATGGCTTGCTTTATACGGTAGCTACATTGCATAAGATGTATGTTGTTCATCTAAGTATATGGAGTACAATTATCGTGGTACTATGACGATTCTGCTTTCTGCAAGTACTTCATATGCCTTGACCCTTGACTGATGGAGATGGCCAGGGTTTTGTAGAACCATCTAAACTCTGTGCAGAGGTAAGTCGCTTGGCGGACTGGCTGAAAACCACTTGTTCTGCCTTGAAGTCTCAAAGAATAAACCATGCCCTTAACCTATCTGGGAGGCGCGTAAAGTTGAGTCCTAGAATTGCTCCAGCGCATAAGCTCAGGGGAACCGAGGGCTCGTCCAGGCGCTTTTCTAAGCGGCCGGAACACCAGTCCTTTGGCCAAGTCCTCGCGGGTGAAGTCCCTGGTGTGCACAGCTAATCCATTGGAATGCGAGTAGCGTGTCCACTGCGGTGGCCAATTTGTGTCCCAGACTGGCAACAAGACCACCAGCCCCTTGCCCAGCTGCTCGTTATCCTTTGCTTCCTGCTCACGAGTGGCATCGGGTAAAGCACGTCCTCTGGATTGTGCATACTTCAGGTTTTGCATATGTCTCCCAAACAGGTTCTTAAGGCTGAGATTCTCCAGCATTGGCATAGAACGCTCCAAATGAGCAAAGATCGGGGTCCATGACCCAGAGGTCAGGTGACACTCATGCAGCGTCAACGAGCGCAGGTTGGAATGCTTTTGGAGAAAGAGCAGCAGGGACTGTCCTTTGGCCGCGAATCCCGACAACGCACATTTTTCCAAAAATGGCAATTGGATTTCATGAGCGATACTGTCGACGATCCTATCGTAGCAGTGAAATAATTCTTCTCCATATGCGGTGCGCCGGAATGTTAAGTCCAGCTCTCGAAGAGCTGGTGCGGATTTGAGGAAGAGTGATGCTATCCCGGGTGTTCCATCCTCTAGCACGGGCGGGGGATCCTCTCCTTCTTCTTCCTTTTCTTCCTCTTCCTCCCCTTCCTCCTCGTCCGCCTCGTCCTCCTCGTCCTCCTCTTCCTCCTCATCTTTGAGAGAATCCTCTATAGCCATGGAAATACTGAGCTTGAGCGATATCAGATCCTTGCCGAGTATTTCCAGCTGCCCTGGGCCCAGACCCAATGCAATATCGGTGATCTTGTCAATCGGAATACAGCATTTATCAGTATCACGAAAGATATCAAGGCTCCTCACCGACACCCTACTCTGCACCATTGCCCTCAAAACCCACGAGAGGATTTGCGAGGCTCGCGCCCAGAGTGGCTGCCAGTCTTTGGAATTGGGCGCCTTTCTCTCCGTCCGACCGCGGAGGACTCCGCCATCAAAGCGGATGACATCCAAGGTTCCAAACAATTTGAGCGCGAGTTGCAGGATCTCAACCATCTCGCTCGGTGACTCCTGATCTCTGGCCTCTTGCTGTTCATTAAGCCAGCGCAGATCAGATTTGGCCTTTTCCAGTTCCTCGGGCGTGAATTTGACTGTGCTCCGGGAGGTAACGTATCCGTGCTTGTTGAGTTTCTCCGCTGTGTACCTCCCAGATTTGATGTCCTTGTCTAACCCAGAAGGTTCCATTGTTATAGCAAGGAATGTGAGCGAGTGGATCTTCTTGCTGAGTGCAGGAATGCGCGCCAACGCATGCAGAGAGCGAAGACTCTGCGGTGAGACATCAAGAACAGGCTGTTGGATGCACCTTAGGAATCGGGGTCCGATGCACTTCTCGGCCAGCTTTCGGTCGACTAAGCGGAGAGCCTTGATCGATTCGAGGTCCAGGTGTGTGAGGGTTGACTCGAAGATCTCAGGGGGCAAATCGTGCAGTCCGGTGCTCCGCGCTAAGTCGGACATGTTGATGGGCGGGTCGTATGAGGTTCAAGGTAAGAAGTCAGAAGTAAGTGTTGAATGGAAGAAAAACACTTGGGAGCGGTCTGAACTGGCAGAAATGAAGCATCAGATGTCTTCTACCTCATTTAAAGGATCCTATTTTGTTCATTGAGTTCAATAGACTAATTAGGGGGTGTCTCAGTTGGACCAGGACCACAAGAACACTAGGCCTAAATTGTGGGCCAGATTGGTTTAGCGAACCCTGGATCATGTTACAAACTTACAATGTACTTGGGTATTTAAAAGCGGATCTCTCAATAAATACATGTACATGTACATACGGTCATACACATACATTTGAACGGGTCGCCCGGCAATAAAGTGGAGTAAAATGTGTCGGGCTGGTAACATGCCGACTCGGGATCTACTTCACTTAGACAATTGTTGCCTGTTCAGCTGAAGTTGGAAGTGAATGCCTGATTCAGTGACCTCAAGTCTGCCAGTACTTGGATATGTGTAGAGTTAAGTGCTCCACTCAATTTTACTCTGCATCAGCATTACTTGTTTATATATTATGATGTTGTAGTAAGGAATGTCGGGGCATTCCGCCTTCCTTTTGGGAAGGTCAGGCGTTCTACCTACTCTACTCCTTGCTAGACTAGGTACGGTTCTACATGCAAAATTCATCCTCAACTTCATGCCCTCCATCTCCAGTAATCAACTATCTCTCAAACAATGATATATCGAGGTTTTCAAAGAGTCAGTTAATTTGATCTTGTAGTTGTCTGTGGTCAAGATCCCCTTAGACATCCCAGCTCCCATACAAGCACGGTATATTCAGGTTCTGACTACAAAATACAACTACATTTTGTTTCCAGTAGTCGGAAAGCCAGAATCAAACCTCAACACAGTCCGAAAGTTGTATCTATTATATACAACCCGGATCGAAGAAAATGGCCTACAGTGATAGATAAGCATTAGTTATAGTCTAAGAACATTAGCGTCATTAGCGCAGAGTAAGCAGCAAACAGCCTCCAACGCGATTGCGACATGATCTTTCTTCTGTGTTTATCCCTCGACTGGTCTACAGCAACCACAACAGCTTCAACTGCATCTCCCCAGCCCTAACCATGGAGTCCCCCCAGTAAGCCCTCAACACCCCAGCCCATCCCCCGACAACCCATCTAACCCCAATAGCCCCAAACCCACCCTCCTAACCCTCCCCCTCGAACTCCGCCAAATAATCTACACCTACCTCTTCACCACCCAACCCATCACCATCCAACACAACCCCATTCCCGCCGAGTGCAGCATCGACAACCGCCCCCTCTGCCGCAACCCAGAAGCCCCAACCACCACCACCGGTGGTACCCTCAACAAATCCGGCTACCAACCCAGCTACGCCCTCCTCCAGACCAACCGCCAACTCCACCACGAAACCCACTCCTACGCCTACAGCGCCCCGCTCTTCCGCACCCAACAAACCGAGGCATTCGCCAGCTTCACCAGCGGCCTCACCCGCCCCCAGATCCACGCAATCCGGCACCTCGCCTTCTTCCTCCCGCTCGCGCAGGGCATGGAAACGCACGCCGCGGAGTGGCACGAGACCTTCGCCTTAGTCCGCCACGCCTACCCGCACCTCCGCTCCGTGTCCGTCGAAATGGCGCTGGCGTTCCCGGCGGCCGGCGGGAAGGACACCTATTGGGACGGGGGGTTGTTGGAGCTGGATCGGCTGCGGTCGCTGCGGGGGATGCGGGTTGTCGTTTACGGTGGCGATGTGGCGGCGGCGGCGGCGGAGGTCGAGAAGAAACCTGATGAGCCGTTCTTCCTGTATGAGGCCGGGACGCTGCATCCGGCTGCATCGGATATCCGGGGCAGGACTGGGGCGGCGGCGGCTGCTGCGGCTGGTACTGGTACTACTGCGATTAGCTTCCATCACGCGCGGGACGCTCTGCGGCGGAGGCTAGCACTAGCCCCCTCCAACCCCAGTCCCGATGACAACGAGGAAGACCCCGGCCGGCTGTTCTTCCGCACCTCGCCGAACGTCTTCCCCCTGTACGTCCGGAATCTGACGGAGATGCTGCTCCGGCGGCGGCGATCGCATGCCGAGATCCGAGGGGAGGATCGCATGCAGCGCAACGAGATCTACCACTATGTGTACCTGGATGAGAGGCCGTTTGAGTGGGGTCGGGTCTTTGGGTTTCAGTATAGCAGGAGTGCGAAGTTGGAGGAGGGGGAGCTTGAGCGCGCGCTGGAGGGGCTGCGGCTGGCCAGGGAGCGGTTGCGTGTGCGGCGTGAGAATGGGGAGCTGGGGGCTTGTTCGCGTCCTGAGGCAAGTGGGCGTGTGGCTCTACGGGAGAGAAAAGGGGTTCGTCGGGTCCAGGAGGAGGATACGGGGGCTAGGGCTGAGAGGCCGGGAGCTTGGAAGAAGCAGCTACTGCTGGAGGCGTCGGCGCCTTTGATTGAATCGTTCCCTGATTGTATAGCGCGGCCGTATCGGTCTGAGGGGAGGGGCTCTGGTTGATCGAGGGAGACGATTTGATGGGAAAGCACTTGGAGCTCAGTTATACTGGAGCTATTCTTCGATACATAAGGTCATTACATACTCAGCATAGCCGTAGCTACCCCGAGCCCTCGCTCAGAACTGCTTGACCACCCGCTGAAACCGAGGAGGCTGCCTCATGAACTTCTCCGGCTCGTCTCGGGCCCCTTGCTTCCAGTAGTCGTACTCCATCCACGCATTTTCCGGCATCTGCGCCTCGGTCGCTTCCAGGAACTCGCCCAGATCTGGATTGAGAGGAATCACGCCGGTTTCTATGACGTACTGATCCCACAGTTTCAGTAGCTGCTTCAATCGATCGGGATGCCCCTCTGCCAGATCGTGGATCTCGCCGGGGTCCTCGACCAGGTTGTACAGCTGCCATCGCTCCGGCCCCTTCGGCTTCGGGATATAGACGATCTTCCAATCACCGAACCGCAATGCCGCCCGGCCACACGTTTCCCACCCTTGGATGAATTCCTTCTCGTGAATGCGGGGACTCTCACCCGTAGCCCAGGGGTAGAACGACTTCCCTCGCATTGGCACAACCTCCCGCCCCTGATAGAGTGGTGCCGGATGCGTCACGCCCGCCATTTCCAAGATCGACGGGGCCAGATCCATGACCGTAGCGAATTGATCCGTGATACTGCCGTTCTTGACGTGGTCTGCCGTCTCGCGCACCGAGGCCGGGAAGCGTGCCAGGAAGGGCACATGCACGCCGCCTTCCGTCGTGTAGGCCTTGTACAATCGCGAGGGAGCGGTCGCGGCCTGCGCCCACCGTGGCCCGTACCAGATGAACGAGTTGTAGTTCCCCAGATTCTCCAGCGAGTTGTCGTAGTACTTCTGCAGATGCGGCATCACGCCACTCTGCACCATCGGGTAGGCCTCGTACGCGGCCCCCTCTGCGCCATTGTCCGACATGAAGCAGACGAAGGTGTTGTCGAGCTCGCCGATGGACTCCAGGTAATCCACCACCTTCCCAACATTGGCATCGATACACTCGACCATCGCAGCGAACACCTCCATTGCGCGACACGACAACACCTTCTCCTCCGGAGTGAATTCCTCCCACGGCTTGACCTCCCCCTCCGCCACGACCGGATGCGCCTCTACATCCTCGCGGATCATGCCCAACGCCTTCAGCCTCTCCAGTCTCTTCTGCCGCAGCACGTCCGGTCCCTCATCGTACACCCCGCGATAATGCTCGATATACTCCCGTGGCGCCTGAAGCGGCCAATGCGGCGCCGTGAAAGGCAAGTAAGCGAAGAACGGTCTCCGCTGCTCTTCCCCTCCCTCGCCACCATCCTCCCGCTCGTGCCATTCTCGCAGGTATTGACACATCCGGTCCCCGTACCCATCCGACGAGTACCACCCCTCCGGCAACTTTCTCACGTACCGGTCATCCTCCATATGCAGTGCGATAAAGCTCGCCTCCAGAAACGTCGGCGTCTCATCCGCGCCCGCCAGCTGCGGCTCGAAGGCGTAATGATTCGAGCAGGCCGGGAGGTGCGCCAGCGACCGCTCGAAGCCCCGCTTACAGGGGGCGCGGTCCGGGGTCAGCCCCAGATGCCACTTGCCGGCCATGAGGGTGTGGTAGCCGGCGTCGCGGAGGAGCTCGGGCAGCGCGACCACTCGTTCGTTGAGATAGCCTTCGTAGCCCGGCATCCCGCGTTGCGGGGCGGTGGACATCTGCGACCCCTTGGGCCCGTTCTGGCCGGTGATGTTGGTCCACTCGATTAGGTTGCCGAGGCCCGCTATGTGGTGGTCCGTTCCCGTCATGATCATGGCGCGGGTGGGGCTGTATTATTGTTGTATCGGACGGTCAGCGTTATGCCAAGACAAGAAAACCAAGCATGACAGTACGACAGAGGGAAAGGAAGGGGTGACAGACGAGCACGCTGCGGCGGCATGGAAGTCGGTAAACCGCACACCCTCCTCCGCCAAGCGGTTCAGATTCGGGGTGCGGATCTCGCCGCCATAGCAGCCGATGTCCGAGTAGCCCAGGTCGTCGGCTACGACGACGAGGAAGTTGGGGCGCTTGGGAGCCATGGTGGGGGTGATTGAGATTGTTAACACTTCACGTGGGGTTGAAAGGTGCTGGAAAATGTACAAGGAGGTTTGAGCAGCAATTAGCATAGGTGAGGGGCGAGCTCAATTTAAAGGCAGTCAGTCGTCTGCATCCCCGCACTGTTGCCATGCGCCGTGTATACATGCACTGCCTGCGTCGTCTATCGGGAGTCGGCTGATAAGCAGCATGATCGGCGGGGATTGCGTCGCCTTGGCTGGGTTGTAGCCAATGGCTGCTGCTGACAGCAACCCCGCATCGATTGCGAATTCGGCTCTCGGCTATTTTGCTGCATGGGGTGTGGTTGTCTGTGGTCTCCACGATGGAAGGGAAGATAGATGTGAGGTGGTCTGATCAGGAGGAGTTGAATGGAATGGAGAACATTGAGTGAGGGGGAAGGAGGTAGATGGTAGTATGTAGTAATAGTAAGGTAGTACCCAAGTATTTTGCTGCCAGTCCCGGCCGCTCGCCCGATGCGGTGCCTCTGCTTCAACAAGGAGAGTATACAATCATGCGCTCCATGCTCTACTACTATACGTTCTTCATCAAATACTATATGTATTTTTACTACTTTCACTCTGCTAAATGCTTTCAGCGGCTGAACTTAGGAGTCCCAAATCAACCTTAGCAGCCATTACGGTGGTTCATCTTCTCCATACTTACCAGTTGCTTCTCCTTGTCCGACCATAGTGGTTCATATCCATCTAATACCAGCAACCACGGATGCCACTGGTGGTAATCTTGCGCTGACCACTTCCATCTGTTCAGCATATGCAGACCACGAGAGCATGAAAGGTCATTAGGCAGATAACTATGTCATTTCTTTTTTGGACTACTGGAGGCAAGCTTCTACAAAGCGATAGACATTCTATCATTATGAGGGGTTTCTGTGACTGAAGTGGTCCTAAGGCTTGTGACAAACCCCAGCGATGCCGGCAGGGTTACCCAACAATTTATGAATGTAATGGTAAGGTGTGCGGTGCATGTCCAAAAGATCAGGGTTGCAGAACAACATGGTTACTATATGATCTGTAGAATTGAACATTGAATTTGCAAAATATACTTTGGCCACGGTAAGCTCCACCAGCCAATAATACCCAGTCCATACTAAACACCAAGACCATAGGACCAGGAATGCGAGACTTCCAGACCACTGTGTTGGCACACTCATACAGTAAGGAGAACTGTAACCGAAGCTGTAGCTGTAATGCCCACGTCACCTATTACCAGATGTGCTCCACGGATCGGATATCCTCACGTGGTAGACACCTGTCAACCAACCACCCACAAACTTAATTCGAAAGGAAATCCAGGGTACTGGAACCCCGAGTCCAAAACACCTTGTGGTTGGTAACTGAGCCGCCACGGTGATCCAACAGGATCAGATCCCATGCTGCCAATCCCACAGATATCAGTTACTTAGCCGGATCATAAGCTTGTGCACATCGGATGATTAGACATTGGAACCCTGCTCATAACACTTCATCTTGTTCGACCACGATTCCAGCATATTAGACTCCATATCGATCCTGGCCAAAGAATTCCCACTCACCTTAGTCAATGGGTGGGTTCACGGAGATGCGATCCGATCCTGAGTCCTTGATCTCACCAATCTGATTACACCTTGCCAGCATACACCCAAACTCAATCGGTGGGAGTGGTACTTTTGTCGCATATTTCTTCCTCAATTCTCGTATGCTGTCATCGTGACGCTGGGTAGAGCATCCTCACCTATCCAGAATTGACATCCACTACAATGTACACCTCCAGAAACCACCAGCCCTAATAAAAAGGCCCAGTGGTAAATATATTGTGAGAATAGATCGACGATCACAAGAATCACCAGCTTGTACTTGTCTACTACCTTACACAAACCCCAACCCACCCCTAACCAGACCCCAAAACTCCTCCTCTCCCTACCAACCATGCAGGATGCATCCCAAAACACAGACGTGGAACACCAACCGCCACGCACCACCAAGTCATGAACCCAACTCCACCGAAGAAGAAAAGCCCTAAAGAACCATTTTCTTGCTGCATCGAGCGAATTCGTCGGGACCGTCCTCTTCCTCTGGTTCGCCTTCGCCGGGACGCAAGTAGCCGCGATGACCAGCACCAGCGCCAGCGCCAGCGACACCATCACCCCGCAGCGGCTACTCTACATCTCCCTGAGCTTCGGCATGTCCCTGCTGGTAGTGGCGTGGGCCTTCTACCGGATCTCCGGCGGGATCTTCAACCCAGCCGTGCGCCAACCCTCACCCCTTTTCCTGTAGAACACAAACCAAACTCTAACAACCCCCGGGGCGCGCAGGTAAAACTCGGCCTCTCCTGGCGGGAACAACGCCCAGGCTCCGCTGCGCATTTCTGCTACCCGCCCAGATCCTGGGGGCGCATTGTGGCCGCCGCGCTGGTCTGGTCTCGTGCATGTTTTCCCGGCGCCGATCGCGGTCGTGCAGACGCAGCTCAACGCCGACACCTCCATCACGCGGGGCCTCTCCTCTTCATCGAGATGTTCCTGACTACGCTGCTGCTGCTGGTCACGATCCTGATGCTGGCGGCGGAGAAGCATAACGCCACGTTCCTGGCGCCCGTGGGCATCGGGCTGGCGCTGTTTGTGGCGGAGTTGGCCGGTAAGCCTCGTGTCCTTCTTCCCTCCATCCCTCAACCCCCTCACCCCCACCTACTAAGACTGAGGACAATAAGTGATCTAATGAGAATGGTTGGGTGTTGTGTTGGGCCTAGGAGTCTACTTCACCGGCGGCTCCCTGAACCCGGCCCGCTCGTTCGGCCCCGACGTCGCCGCCGCCAGCTTCCCGGGCTACCACTACATCTACTGGGTCGGGCCGCTGATGGGCGCGCTCCTGGCCGCCGGGTACTATCGCTTCGCGAAGGCGTTCAACTACCCCGAGGCGAATCCGGGGCAGGATGCGACGGGGCCAAAGGAGTAGGAGCACCAGCAGGAGGAGGAGCAGGAGCGGAAGCACCAGTCCTGAGGATGTTGATGTTTGGCTTGGCGGATGCGATCTTGTTGTGCAGGGTTGTCTGTCATACTTGTGAAGTTTGGAAGGGATTGCACCAAGGGTTGAAGGGGCTGGGGATGGGGGGTATACTGGTTGAGACTCTGGTGTTGTGCAGTACTTGTACAGTAGTGGTATTGCGATCAGGACTGGTTCCTTCTTTCTTTCAAGGCAGTAGTAGGGGGCTCAGAAGCTCGGATATTCTGTCTTTGCTAGAGGCTAATGGCTTCCAAAGTACTACCTGTGACTGACCTTTCTCAGCATATTGATAGCCTCAAGTGCCGTGCTGGCGCGTCTGGATCCATTCTGTTATATCGACCTCTGATCTCGATTGATCACTCCTCATCTTGCCATTTTCCGATGCATGCGCCATGTCTGCGTAAGTTCCAGCAGGTGTACTGTACTCCCATGTGTATTGAGATCGAGGAGAAGTGGGCAAGGTTTCGTAACAAGACTGGTTGATACACACGAGTGACGAAGCCGATGGTCTTGGCGAGGTGTGCGCAGGATATAAAGTGACAACGAAGGTTGCCTTGGCTATTGCTATCGTGTAAGTTGGTCTCAGACAACCAATAAAAGTTGACCTTCTCTCTTGTGACAATTTTCCTGTCGTCTGGTGTAGTCTCCTTATAAGGCACCTATCTCCATTGTTGAATGTAATGAAGACTACGAGTTGAGAAGGGGGACCTGCGGGCTTGTCTTGGAAGGACCGGTCAACGTCAATTGCTGATTTCTCCCTTACACGATCTGTCTTGACTCGACCCATTATATTGGCACGTCAATAGGTAGCTTTCTGTAGCCTTCCTTCTTTCTCCAATGAATCGATCATGGGGTGCTTGGAGATCTACGGAATCCTCTTCAGTGGTGACCCATTCCCCCCGTCCGCTACGCGACAACTACGCGACGAATTCCCACTTCCACTCCGGCACAAGAAACAGCAAATCGACTTTTCAGATTCGAAAAAGCGAATATCAACATCTGTAAAAAGCCCAAGCAAGATCCCAGTCAACAAATCTCGAATTTCAACGCCTTCATCCCATCGCAATCAAATCAATTCAGCTAAATCGTCAAATGAAACTCCATCAAACAAAAAAAGAGATCATGCGTTGACATGCTTGGCGCGCCCAGAAGCACCATCCGCGGCTGGCGAGTCCACTTGGCCCACGGGACTAGGCCCCCTTGCGGTGCTGGGCACGAGGGAGGAGCGCGTGGTTGGCGAGGCGGAGCTGCGATGGCTGGGAATGCTGTCGCGGCTGCGGCTACCGGGGATTCCTGCGCCCGCGGCCCCAAGACCGGTGGCACTGGAGGACACGTTCCCTTCGCCGGCCATGTAGAATCGCTTGAGCGGGCTTTCGCCGCGGGCGGTCGAGCCCAACGCGTCCAGCTCCGTCATCCCTAGTTGGCTCTGCGATTTGATGAACGAGCCGCGGTCGTCGCGCATGGGCTGGTAGCGCAGGTCCGGGTTCTTCGAGAAGATGGCAAAGGCCGAGGTGACGAGCACGAGGACGAGCAGGACCAGCACGAACGCCGCGTTGTACACGAAGAATATCACCCCCATGACGCCGGTGACGATCCCCGGCTGGTCGAACACCTGCGAGAAGAACAGGAGGAAGATCGCATTCACAAAGTTGATCGCCCCGATCGCGATGTTGTACCCGTTGGTCTTGCGGTCCATCCAGGGGCGCAGGATGCTGATGCCGATCAGCATCAGCGTCTCGATGATGACCAGGGCCACCGTCTGCACGATCGGCGCCTCCTGGCTCAGGCCGATGAACATCGCCTTGAGGATGACGTAGGTCATCGCTGGAACCAGGAAGTAGTAGGCCGTCGCGCGGTACTGCACGTACAGGAACCCCAGCTTGTTGAGGCAGCTCTCGTCCGAGTACAAGATATAGGCCGGGTTGCGGTGCATCCCCACCGAGTTGCGCGCGATGAGGATCACCTTGACCGCCGCCCAGCCCAGGGCCCCGATCACGGACAGCAGCATCACGGCGGCCAGGAGGACCTCCGCGGCCGAATCATGCTGCGTGAACTCCCACAGGCAGAGGACGCACATCTGCGGGAATCCGATCTGCACCATCCGGTACAGGATCCCCTTGGAGACGTGGAAGTCGGCGAACTGATCGTGGCGGATCTTGCCGTACCGCGCCAGCAGCTTGGAGGCCGCCTTCAGGGCGCCGACGATGATCATCACGACGGCGACGAAGAAGACGAAGAAAATCAGCCCCGTCAGGAAGATGTTGGTGCCTTCAATGTGGGCCGTGAACCCGACGCGTTTGATGCCGCGGACGACGACCGTGCCGGTTTTCGCGGTCGCCGACTGCCCGTCGGCGCGCTTGAAGAGGCGGACGGCCGCCGCCGTCGCCGCCCCCTCGATCGAGCGTTTCCTGCGCCGCATAACCTCCACCGAGACGGTCGACAGCTCGGAGAGCACCGTGCTCGGCGTGCCGCCCGTGGCGCGCTGGTACCAGGTGCAGATCTTCTCCAGGAAGGTGACCCGGATGATCCCCATGCTCCACTGGAAGTTCTGCGTCCACGCGGCGACGATGGGGGGCATGTGCACGGAGATCATCCCGAACATGGCCTGCGCTTGCATGAACCCGAAGAACGACAGAACGTTGGCGGCGACGTGGGCGGCGGTGTTGGAATTGCCCAGACTGGCCGTGACCGCCGATGCGATCAAGCCGACCCCCGATATGACCGCCGTGGCCCATCCCACACCTTTCTGGTAGACGGTCTTCCCGTTCGACAGGCTCGCTTCGATGCAGGCGATACTCTCCCCGCCGGCGTCGGTGGAATTGATGTAAATGCGAACGGAGGCGTCCAGATCCGGGACGGTGTACGCAATTCCTAATGCCCCGTTAGCTCTCCCGTCAAAGCTAGCACCTCCCCCACGGAGTTCAGCAAAATTGCTGGCGTCCCAGGCGGTAACCAACCTGGAATCCTCTTGACGACGTTCTCGGGGATATCGATGTTGGCGTTCGGGACGTTGATATTCCCCGCATTCATGGGGCAGAGACCGGCCAGATTCATCGTGCATGGGTTCAGGGATTCGGTGGTCAGCTCATAGCCATAAACGTTGACGACAATGTCCGCGGTGACATAGCCGGAGATCGCGGCCACGCCGTCGAAACTGAGGGCGAGGGACCGGTTGTTGGGGGTGAAGCGGACGCTGAAGTACGTGGCCGTGAAGTTCGGACTGTTCTGGCAGAGACTCAGCGCATTGGATTCGATCAGGCGGGTGGCCGAGACGACGGAGGCGGCCGTACAGGCGATCAGAACGCTAAGAAAACGTGATGACCACCACATTGTCGGTGGAGTGGCGCATCGATGGTGGGGGGTCTTTTCACTTTTCTGGATTAGGAGGTGGTGGTGAGGGGATGAGGGGATAGGGGTAGATAGGGGAAACCGGGGGGATCAGATAAAAAGAGCGAACGACTGTGAACGAGAGACGTGGGAGAGTGAGTGCGGAAGTGAGAGTGAGAGAGACCCCGATGATGCCTGATGATCTCGCAATCAATAAAGCCCGCCAGAGAAGAAGAGGCGGGTTAGCGCCCGCCTGTCTTATATGTCTAATAATAGCGGAGTAAGTAGCTTTTTTGGTTAGTGGGCTAGACTCGTGGTTAAGTTGTTTGTAGGTTAGTCTAGTCTAGTCTAGTGACCAGAGATGACTCTGGCGGCAGAAGAAAGCGAGTGGCTATCGGTGGCATTATGCTGGTTACCTAGTATTATCATTACACAACACCCTACCTAGTTTTTAGGGGGGAAGAACTTGTCCACTGGGCACATGTAACATCACCATCCTGACCGGTCTTTGTTCCGGAACGGTGTAATCCTGCAGCTAATTATTCCGTCATCTGTGAGCAGAGACACCGTGGTGGATACGACCCTATGTAGTCCGTACTGTGTCTGGAGCACAAAGGGTCTATGGCCAGGTAATCAGATCTGATCCAGGAACATCTACCTGCTAACTTACTTATAAGAGAACATTCATTCAATCAACCACAGGAACTGCCAACAACCGCCGATCCGCAGGCAGTCCCTGATTCACGTGATCCACCTGTCAGGGTCACGTGCATACCCCGCGGGTCTCTAGTCTAACTACATCAGGAATTTCCTCGGAGATGTATCGTATCTCGTCTCCCGACTTGCTCCAGGGAAGCACAAGAAAAATCGCTAAGGTATTCGGATTCGGTCTAGAATTGTGCTTATTCATTAAGTGTTACTTTTATGTCCTTTTTTAGAAATGCCCCATGAAAATCCCGATCAATCGTACAAATCATGCCTCACGCCTAAGCACGGCTCAGGCTCTCACCCTCCTCGGCCTTCTGGAGACCGTACTTCTTCAACCGGATGGACTGGATGGCAATGAAGCCAGTGGTGTCAGTGGGCTCGAAGTCCTCCAGGGAGTCCATCGAGGCCTCCTCGGCGGAGTAGAGCTTCTCGGTGCTGCTGGAGCGACCAAGGATGTAAGTGTGACCCTTGTACAGGCGGACGCGGACCTCGCCGTTGACGCGCTGTGAAACAAATTAGAACCGACAATGTGGATATCATCTACATGCTTGCAATCACTCACCTTCTGGCTGAACTTGATGCTGTTCTCGATGAACTCGCGCTCGGCACTGAAGTACCTATGGGACAGTTAGTATCATCTGAATATTGCGCGACAACATCGACTCTTCTCCGAGATACTTACAGGCCGTTGTAGAGCTGGATAGACCAGTTGTGGGTGACGAACTGGTCACGCAGAGCACGGACCTGACCGTCAAGGACAAGACCCTCAAGGTCAAGGTGAGCATCGCGCAGGATGGTCATAGCAGGAGCTAGTCAAGAAAGTCAGTAATAGCCCTCAAGCAGATGTAAGGCAGGCGGCCGTACAGTCGTAGCAGCCACGGCTCTTGAGACCGATGAAGCGGTTCTCGACGATATCAATACGGCCAACACCGTGGGTGTAGCCGAGCTTGTTGAGAGCGTAGAAGAGCTCGACGGGGTCGGTGTACTCCTTGCCGGGGGCAACAAGCTTGGTGGGGACACCCTGCTCGAAGTGAATGGTGAGGTCGACGGGCTCGTTGGGAGCAGTGAGGGGGTCGGCGGTCATGGTCCACATGTCGGAGGGAGGGGTCTGGTTGGGGTCCTCCAGGATGCCTGCATGCAAAAAGATCGTTAGCAAAGTCCCTCGTCTTATGATCCACAATCACATACCGGCCTCGTAACTGCAGTGGGCAGAGTTGGAGTCTGGGGTGAGAATTAGCGATATCCAAGCAACCATGCACAACAGTCAATCACGAACCCATGGACCAGGGCTTGGCCTATTTGAGATACATTAGCACACTGCTCAAAATCCTTGTCTGGTAGCCGCTGAAGGTGCTCACCTTGGTGGAAGTGACGGGGATGCCGGTCTGAGCGGCGTAGTCAAGAAGATCGTTACGGCCAGCGAAACGCTTGAAGAACTTGGGATCACGCCAGGGGGCAATGATCTTGATGGAGGGCTGGATGGCGTAGAAGGCCAACTCGAAGCGGACCTGGTCGTTACCCTTGCCGGTGGCACCGTGACTGACGTACTGGCAGCCCTCGCGCTGGGCAGCGCGCATCTGAGCACGGGCAATCACGGGGCGAGCCAAGCTGGTACCGAGAAGGTAGCGGCCCTCGTAGATGGCATTGCACTCTATTGTGAGTTAGCATGCTTTCCCCCGCACACAGAACCCGGGGATCGTACGAATGGCGGGGAAGCAGAGCTCAGTGATGAACTCGCGCTGGAGATCCTCAATGATCATCTTCTTGGCACCAATCTTCAGGGCCTTGGCCTCAACGGCAGCCCAGTCCTCCTCCTGACCGACATTGGCGAGGAAGCAGACGACGTCGTAACCCTCCTCTGAAGGATGTGTTAGTCGGTGACCGAGCGAAGCGAATGCAAGTGAGCTATACCGATGAGCCAGCGGAGAATACAGCTGGTGTCAAGACCACCTAAAGAGAAGCATTTGTTAGCGAATATGGCTCTTATCTTGGGATCAATTGGCGCAAATTGCGGGGTTGAAAAGACGGGGAGGTGGACGTACCGGAGTAGGCCAGACAGACACGGGGCTTTTCAGAGGCCATTTTGTGTGAGTGTGTGAGAGGGATGAGGATGGAAAATGAAATGAAGATTGAATTCGGAGAGAGATGAAGAGAAACAACGGAATGTGAAGCCGATTAATATAGGACCGCTAGTTCAATGACTGACTGACGGTCGGGGAGGGAAGAGCTGGTGACTAAGAGTCATTGACTCATCCCGGAGTCGGAGCTCTGGAGCCTTACGTAACTCAAACCCCAATTGTGGGCCAATGACCGGGCATAAGCGAGCACGTCCCTATCTATACTCCTCCCCCAATATCTATGCCATAATCGGTGCAGATAATCGCTGATCCATTCTGCACTGGGTATGTTATCGGCATCCTCGACGGCAACGATCGCCGTCGCTAGCCCTTGAAGTTGGCCACCTACCACTGCATTCGCTTCTACTACGTAGCATGATGGATAGTGTCCATTGCACATCCACATTTGATTGTTTAGACCCATTGGACTATTGACTTTTTGATTGACCTTGAGCAGCTACAAGAGTACACATGTACGTCATATCGCCAAAGCGTTGGCGATACATACTATTGTTTGTGAAAAAAGTTCGTCGTCATATTGAATAGGAAGTCACATTCCCATCCCAGAGAATGCGCTCTATGCATTAATTGTTATAAAGAGACCTCATGCTTTTGTTCGCCCCGAAAATGATCCCAAAACCCCAGAACCGCAACGACCCAAAAAAAAACTATATCTTACAACAACGACCGTAGAACGCCGGTCTGCTCCAGCACAGCCCGACGACTAGTGCCGCCAACTGCATCCTTCAACTCGACAGCACGCTCGTAGTCCAAGCAAGCTTGTACGTCGTCGTCGAAGCGAGCGTCAACGGTCTTGAGCTGCTCCAAGGATAAGGTATCCATGGGGACTTGGTGCTTCTCAGCCAAGGCAACAACCCGGCCAGAGATGTGGTGGCCCTCACGGAACGGCACACCCTTGCGGACAAGGTAGTCTGCAATCTCGGTTGCCAGCATCTCAGGGGCAAGAGCGGCAATCATCTTCTCCGGAATGACGGTGAGGGTAGAGAGAACGCCGGTGGCAATCTGAATGCTGTCTCCGACGGTCTTGATGTGATCAAGGAGAGGCTCAACACTCTCCTGCAGATCTTTGTTGTAGGTGGTGGGCAGGCCCTTGATGGTGCACATCAAGCCGGCCATCTGGCCGAAAGCACGGCCAGACTTTCCGCGCAGAAGCTCCAGGCTGTCTATTCATCATCGAGTTAGCATCGTCTAACTTCACATTATCAATACATAGAAAAGAGCCGACATACCTGCGTTCTTCTTCTGGGGCATCAACGATGATCCAGTCGAGTAGGCGTCCGACAGGCGGACAAATCCGAATTCCAAGCTGCTGTAGATGATGAGATCTTCGGCCCAGCGAGAGATCTTCAACATGAACGAGCTGCCCCACTGCATGGTCTCCATGGCGAAGTCACGGTCTGCCACGGCGTTCATCGAGTTGTACAGAAGGCCATCGAAGCCCAGCTCCTTGGCCATAGCCTCACGGTCGATGTGGAAGGGGTTTCCGGCCAAAGCACCAGTACCGAGCGGGCTGCGGTTGACCCGCTTGATGACTTCCCGGAGCCGCTGAAGCTCGCTGGCGAAAGCGGTGGCATGCGACAAGATCCAGTGACTCCAGCGGACAGGCTGGGCCTTCTGCAAGTGGGTGTAGCCGGGCATAATGTACTCGATCTCGGACTCGGCACGGGCAATGGAGACCTTGATGAGATCGCACAGGAACTGGTCAAGCTTGCGGAGTTCATCGCGGAGCCAAAGCCGCATGTCCGTGGCAACCTGCTCATTACGAGACCGACCGGTGTGCAATTTGCCTCCAATCTCCTTGCCGATGATTTCCGACAAGCGACGCTCGTTGGCAGTGTGAATATCCTCATCATTCTCCTTCACGACGAAGGTATTCGTGCTCCATTCCTCAGCGATCTGCTTGAAACCCCGTTCGATCTCGGCGAATTCCTGCTGAGACAGGATACCGGTTTTGGTGTTGGCACGGGCAAAGGCAATGGATCCGGCAATGTCCTGCTTCCAGAAGATGCGATCGTATGGCAAAGACTCATTGTACTGTACCATTAGGGGATCGAGGCCCTCTGTGATGAAGTGAAGCGGAACGCGTTAGTCGGTGCAATTGGAGCCATTGAGGATGGAAAGGGAGACGAACGAGTGAATCGACCACCCCAGAGCATATTTTCAGCAACTTTAGGAGCGCTCATGATGGCAAAGTGTGTGTGTGTGTGTGAAGATGTGATTGATGTGTTGGGAAGAGAGAAGTTAAGTAGCGAGCTGAGGACAGCAGATACTAATAAAGGACGCCAGCCCGGCGAGGGTGGGGAACGGTAGGTATGACTCCTTCGGCTGAATTAGGCAAGTCTGATTCATCGTCCTAGTGCCGGGCCCACGGGAGCGATATCGGCCCGACGAGAGGGGCACCAGACCGGATGCGGCAAGGGCTCTTATCTTCATCACGTGCAGTGAGCGGCCCTTGTTAGGGCTCCGCAGCATCAGTGACTAACTTAGATGTATGCCGAACTTATGTCAGATCAATTGCCCCGGAAGGATGCCTTAGTCCGTCTCTGGTGGAGCCTGGCGATTGCACTACGTACTTGAGTATGTAGATTCAGTCAATTGGAGTATAGATCCTCCGTCGTCATCAATATCGAATACGAATTGATCACTGACAGGGCGTACGCTTACTGGTAAAATCACCCCTGAAGGCTCCAACACTGTCAAACAGCAAAACCCACCAACCAAGATGGAACCTTGAGGTCAGCACAACACGACATTATAAGACCCGCCGCCCCTCCGCGGGCTTCATCCATGACTCAGTCTCGACTGCAACAGCTCTTTCCCTCATACATACTCTTGATAATTCAACCACCCTCCTACCTTAGAATCTCAATTCACCCAAAGTCTACTCAATCAATCACTATACCTTCTAACCAATATCATGACATCCTCCTTCCCCCCTCCCCCCGTCAGTTCCATTGACTGGAACAATGTCGGCTTTAAAGTCCGCGATGGTACGTTTATCCCCCCCCCCCCCCCCAACCAGCGTCATGATCAGTAAATCCCCCCGCGCAAGCCCTCAATTGCAATCCAAACACCAAAACACATCAAACTAAAGCCTCGTCCTTCTCTGCACAGTAAACGGCCACATCGAATGCCACTACAACACCAGCACATCGAGCTGGTCGGCGCCGAAATTCATCCCGACCCCGCACCTCAGCATCCACGGCATGGCGCCGGGGCTGAACTACGGGCAGCAAGCGTACGAGGGGCTGAAGGCCTTCCGGCACCCGACCGACAGCAACAAGATCACGATCTTCCGGCCGGACCGCAACGCGGTGCGGATGCGCCACTCGGCGGAGTTCATCTCGATCCCGCCGGTGCCGGAGGCCCTGTTCGTGGAAGCGGTGCAGCTGGCCGTGGCGGCCAACGCGGAGTTCGTGCCGCCGCACGAGACGGGCGCCGCCATGTACATCCGGCCGCTGATCTTCGGGTCGTCGGCGCAGCTGGCCCTGACCGCGCCCGAGGAGTACATGTTCGTCGTGTTCGTCATGCCCACGGGCGTCTACCACGGGGTCAGCGCGGTCGATGCGCTCATCCTCGAGGACTTCGACCGCAGCGCCCCCGCGGGCACCGGCTCCGCCAAGGTGGGCGGCAACTATGCGCCGGTGCTGCGGCACAGCGCCAAGGCCTACCGCGAAGGGTTCGGCATCACCTTGCACCTCGATAGTCGGACGCGCTCCGAGGTCGATGAGTTCTCCACCTCCGCGTTCATCGGCGTCAAGAAGGATAAGGCCGATGGCACCGTCACTCTCGTGCAGCCGGACAGCAACAACGCCATCGACTCCGTGACCGCCGCCTCCGTGCTGGAGATCGGCCAGCGCTTGCTCGGGTACAAGTCCGAGAGGCGCCGCGTGCCGTACGAGGAGATCCGGGAGTTTGATGAGGTCATCGCCTGCGGCACCGCGGCCGCCCTCGTGCCCATCCGCAGTATCACGATGCGGTCGAAGAACGACAAGTTTACGTTCCAGAGCGGCGGCGACGCGAACAACGGTGGTGAAGTCTGCGTCAAGCTCCTGCAGACGCTGAAGGGGATCCAGAACGGGAAGGTCGAGGACAAGTTTGGCTGGAACTTGACCGTCGAGAGGCCGCCGCAGGAGCTGTTTGAGATTGCGGCTGCCCCCGAGGAGGCGGAATCGAACGGTGTCAATGTGCCATAAGTGGGTGTAATGAGATCAAGGACAGGCGACGAGGAAATGCAATTAAAAGTCATTCATTGGTTTGTTCCTAGCATCTTGGCTATTTACTCCCATCACATTAAGAACATGACCCATGCATTGTCGAGATTTACGTTATCATACATGACATTAGATACCCCTAGTTCAATTACTACCACTCTCACTTTCACTCTCGCTCTCGCTCTCGCTCTCACTTTCACTTTCACTTTCACTGTCGTCTTCGCTGTCACTATCGTCATCGGCTCCGGGTATAGCTGGGGTCTTCGATTGAAGATTCTTGGTAGCCTCTCTCTCTCTAGACTTCTTCTCCTCTTCTAATTCCTTCTTGCGTCTCGCGGCTAATTCTTTCAGTGTGCAACGGGTCGCTTGAGGCACCCCACGGGCGTGGGACCATGTGACAGTCGTAGCTGGGGGTTGGGGCAGCATGGGGGACTTGGACTTGAAAGGCGACGACGCATTGGGCATATGCTTGACGTTTTGCGACGAAGGTGGGGGGCTGTCGTCTTCTTCATCTTCAGACTCTGAGCTTGAGCTTGAGCTTGCATCCGACTCCGACTCGGACTCTGAACTGGATGCAGTGAGGTCGAGCTTGGTAGTGGACGAGCTCTCTTTTGCCTGTGAACTACGGCTTGGAGTCGATGACAGGGACTGCTGCACCCGCTGAGCGGAACCTCCTTGCGCTGGTCGTTGACTTGATCCGCCCTTGAGCTTTGTCGCGCCTTGAGTTCCGGCTGGTGTCGAACGAGGATGCTCGATTTTGTTAGATGGCTGTGTGGCGGGCTTTGCCTTCGAAGGTGGTGTGAGCAGAGACCTCAACGGGCCCAGTTTCTCGATCTGCTGGCGCAAGTCTCGGAGCTTATTCTCTAGCTCTTTTCTAGCAGATACATTGCTCTTCCGCCTGCCGAGCTTCTGAAGTGTATTCCATGTTTCCACGAATGCCTTCAACAATTGAATACCTTTGTTATCACAACCCTGCTTCGTGGCTTTCTCGAGCGTCTGTCGTGCCTCTGCTGCAAAGATTCTGTATTCGCCTTCGTCAAAGATGGCGTCTTTAGGTTGTTTGGCATTCTCCTTCGCAATAGACTGGGCTATCACAGGGGGCTTGGTAGAAGCTTTCGTGTTCCGGTCTGCGACCTCTTTCTTGATGGAGCCAGTGCTTGATGATTTTTGACTAGACACTGGCGTTGGCCCAGATTTGGTCACAATTACATCAGAACTATCCGCAAATGACACTGAGCGACGGCCAGACAGATCGTGAGCGGCATCGTCGTTGCACAAGGTAGAACGGGCTGGTTTGACCGGTGTCGCAAGCTTTGTCGGGGTTATCTGAGTACGCGAGGGGGATCCGAGACTGTCAACACGCGTTGTCGATTGCTTGCCAGAAGGGCTACTCGTGATGCCCAGCCCAAGACCAGGTTTAGGTGGCGCTCGAGGCGAGCACTCCGCGAAGCTTAGACGTCGCCCAGCACCAGAGAAAGACGGGGCCCGATCGCGGCGGCGTGGCGTCGAGGGACTCGCTTCGGCTTTGCTCGAAGTGCATACAAGGTCGTCTTCCATTGCGTGTGGACTCTCAGGCTCCTGTCGTCGCGGCTCTTTGTTCGGCTTCAGGCTTTCCAGGCTCAACTTCCGTTTCCGTAATCCGTTGGGTTGTTCGAGAGCACCATTTATATCAGCGGTGCCGTTGACATTCGGTTTGTTGATCCTAGCAGGAGTAGGGACAGACAGGTTTTCTTTCTCAGCTCCAGCTTCAATCATCGTGATATCCCGTTCCGGGTTTGTTATGCCCTCATCGAGATTCTCCGGTTCACTCTCGTCGATGACAATTTCCATGACCTCGCTTTTATTGTGAGTCTTTTGTTCGCCCTTGGTTCTTTGCGGCGAGCCATGGATAAGCTCTGCTTCCTCCTCGATTATAGAATGCGGCGCAATCACCTGCCTTGAGCCGGTTCTTGTATGTGAGAGGTGTGTCTTGAAGGGTCTTGAGCTGCGATGCAAATCGCCCAACTCTTGACTTTCCGCCCGCTTGCGCGGAGGGGTTGGCGCAACAACATGATGCTGCTGTTGTCGGAGAATGGGTTGTTTGGCCACGTGTAGAGGTGATCCGTGAAGATCCTCTGCTTCCACGGAGGAGACAGGAATGTCGCTTCTGCGCACCAAACTTTCATGAGCACTCCATGCCGACGAGGTCGCGCGGTTGCTAGTCGACTCGAAATTGATGGTATCCCGGGGATCTTCATAGATGGTCGGGATTTGACTCATCTCCTTCCGTATGATCTCTTTTTTGATGAGTCTCTGGCGCTCGGCGTCTTCCGCCAGAGCATCCCAGTCGTGAGTGACGGAGGGAAGACGGACAGGTGTGTGTTGGGTAGGCTTCATAATAACACGGACAGTGGCGCGCTGATCCGAGGCGTCCTGACGGGCCTTGCCTTGATTAACGAAGACATCAGCTACAGTCAAGTCTGCATCGAGATCGTAGGTGTCATTCTCATCGTCGAGCAGCTTTTTGATCTCGAGGGACCTGGTTATCCAGTATCTGTTAGCACATCCGAGGCACAAGTAAAAGTAGTTAAGCCCGTGCTTTTGCGAGGCCATTGGGCCTCTCTGAGTCAGAGAAGGAAGGCCCTCCGGAACTTGATGGTCTTCAAGTAAAGTATGGACTCACTCAGCATCTGGTCTTCGCTTTTTCCATTTCTCGCGAATGATCTGAGCCAATTCACCAAGATTTGTCTCCTCCGGGCTCTCAAGGACAATCAAGTAACTATCAAGCTCACGATCCCGGAAGTCATGCTTGCCTTGACCTGAGCCATCGCGATCAGTCGAGGACGATGGTACCTGCAATTGCTCGCGAGCAAAAACTTTAACTCCGAGTCGCAGAAGAACCATGTCGCAGGATGAGAATGTTGAGATGTGAGGCGCAAAGATATGAGGGAGGGAGATCAGGAGAATGTTTCGTCTACACGAAGAATTGTAGAGTTGTTTGTCCGTGCATAGGGACTGGTGAGAAAGGTCTTTCGAGTGACTGGGGAAGAGGAAAGGTGAAAGGGCGAGTCGGAGGTCGAAGGATAGGACGAGAGGAAGAGGATGGAAAGTGGTTGGAAAGGGTGGGTGACTAAAAACATAACATAGAGCGATGTGTTATTCGAGTGAAGGGTTCAAGTTTTCATAAGGTTGCTGCGACAAAGTGAAGGGTGGAGGAAGTCCCGCGTGTTGTGCTCGGATTTAATGAACTGTAGCAAAATAAAATAAATTGTGACAGCAACCGATCATTGGTTCGCGGGGCGCAAAATCAACGCGTTTCACCGCCTGGCAGCCACGGGTCCGATTTCACGAAGTCACGTGTTGATCAAATAATCCAAATCAGGCAATATGACTTGATCTATCCTATAACTACTAGTTATTAAGCTCAAGGAGGTGGGTCGTCATTATGTATGCTCTTCTGCTGGTCACTCGTTCATGTACTGGTCCCTAGTCAGCCCAGAATCCTTCCAGCCTCTTGTTGACTCTGATTCAAGTCAAATCAGCTGATTGTGTAATGGGATGATGACCTCAAATGCAAATAAATGTGCATGGATGGTAAATCCCACCACTTCCGCTTTGCTTCCGCTTCTACTGCAAAAACTTTTCCACGGCACCTCCAATATTCTTCAGATCAAGCAGGAAGGTATCATGCCCGAAATGTGACACATCCTCTCCCAGCTCAATATGCTCAACAGTTTGGTTTCCTGTTGCGCGAAGCGTCTCTGCGATTTCGCGTTGTTGCCAGGCCGGAAAGAGGATATCACTGGCGACGCCAATCACCAAGACTGGGTGATTCTTCAACGGTGCAAGTCCACGGACCAAATCCTGTGGGGGCGTATCCGACCCCTTTCCACCATCGGTGACAGCTTGGTCCATAGAAGGCGTTGACGCAGTTTGAGATGGTTGCTCTTCATACGGCTTGGCGGGAAGAGTCAAGCTGCAGGTGATATTGTTTTCTTGAGCATCGCTACCGCCCTCGGCGATCTTAACTTCGTTGGCGGCTCTCCGCTGCTGGGTCTCTGCTTGATGGGCATAGCCTAAGTCAAACAAGTCCATGGCTTTCGACACATAAAGCAGACTGTTCGGATCATACTCCAAACAGAATTTCTCTCCGGCATGATCAAGGTACGTCTCAATCAAGAAATCCGGACAGAGAGCGGGCTGCTTGCTGGGATCTGCGCGCTTGCGTCCGAACCGCATCTCCCATTCGGGACCACTGCGGTATGTCACGGTGGCAATCTCCCGAGCGAGCTTCATTCCCGAATGAGGGGGGACGGAGTCATAGTAGAAGCCTCGGGCCCACTTCGGATCCATCATCAGCACTTGACGTTGTGTGTGCCTCATGGCAATGCTGTAGGGGTGGCTCCGTGCGCATCCGCTAATGCTGACAACTTTGCCAATGCGCTCCGGAAAAAGGACACCGGCAGCAAGACTCTGCATCCCGCCCATACTGGATCCAACAGACGCATACAACTTTTGAATGCCTAGTGAGTCCAGAAGGCGGAACTGTGCCCGTACCATATCCTCAATCGTGAGGATGGGGAATCGAGTGGCATATCTTTTGCCGTCGGAAGGGTCAATCGTCGAGGGTCCAGTACTTCCGTAACATCCTCCGATAACATTTGTGCAGATAATGAAGTGTTTGTTCGTGTCGAGAGGCCTACCGGGACCGATGAACTTTTCCCACCAGCCTGGCTTCGGGTTAGCTTCGGTGCTGTGTGCGTGACTCGATGCTGAAAGGCCGGTGTGTAACAGAATGGCATTGCTCTTGTCGGCGTTTAATTGACCCCATGTTTCGTACGCGATGTCAAATTCGCGGAGCACACCACCCCAGTCGAGAAGAATCGGATCTTCGCAGTGAAATTGCTCATGGTGGCCAGTGGTGTATGAAGGTTCGGGCCCGGATTCAAGCGACCGCGCGGATAGCTGGGCAGATTTGGCGTCCTGGGCATCGAGGCATGGAAAGGAGAGAGCAGGATTGGACGAGTCTCGTAAGCTGGATTGCGCAGTAGCCGGTTGTGACTTGCGCTGAGGAGCTTGATGTAAAGCCCGAGAGTGAAGTAGTGGGCTGATTCGAACAACTGGACGTGTGGTATTCACTGTTGGGAGGCTGTTGCGCTGAGTCAATGATCGTACGACCCTTGACACTCGAGAAACTGAGGACGCCATTCCTGATGGGTTCATTATGACCCAAAGATGAGCCTCTATACCACAGGGACGTAAAAAATGATAGCGATGCGAATGTCGCGGGATGACCGATCGGTGACTCGGCCGGGTGATTTAACATATGTCACATGCGGACGTGGCGGCCTCAGGCTGTAATTGTCAGCCATGCACCCATGGCGTCA